CTTCAACCTGCCCCCCCAACATCAGGCAGGCCACCTCCCTTCAACCTGCCCCCCCAACATGAGGCAGGCCACCTCCCTTCCTCACTTCAAATCTCTGATTAAAACTCATCTGTTCTCTCAGACAGTTCACTCAGTGTAAATTGATCTAGTGTTTTTTAATCTGTGACCCTGTGTTTTAAATGCTTTTTATTAATTCTTCAGTTATTATTAGTGTATTGTATATATATATTTTTTTTCTTTTTAATTTTACTCATTGATTGTTGTTGTTGTTAAGCACTTTGATAACAGGTTCTGTTTTAAATGTGCTCTATAAATAAAGTTGACTTGACTTAAAATGTTTTTAAAACCCACAGATGAATTTACACAAACTTGGTGAGAAACATGATTTAAATGTGTGGAATTAAAGAAAATCCAGGTGAAATGCTGCTTTTTTGTTCACTGGTGAACATGTTTTACACGCGCACACACACACGATCATTGCGTCCCCCCCACATTACAGATGCTCCTGACGTCCTTGGGAATTACTGAAATAAATCAACTTTTACATGATATTCTAATTTTATGAGCAGCACCGTGTGTCTAGTTGACACCTGTCAACCTTGCTGCGCACACGCTCAGAATCCTCCCCGACAGAAAGGTGACACTCATGTCCCAAGTGTTTACCATCACTTTGTGAACGTATCAGTGTGTTTAATGAGTTTAAACATGGACCTTTGTTACTGGTCTCAGGCAGCTTTGTAACTTTGGACCTTCAGCCTGCTTCAAGGTGAGGTGCTCTTCAGTCAGAGCCACAGAAGCTGCTTCACATCTTTAAAGAAACTTCATATTTCATATCTTTATCATATCTTTATCATATCTTTTTCATATCTTTAAAAATGAGTTCTCAAAACAATGACAATCTTTGGATAAGAGTTGTTCTTTTCTTCTGTCCAGGATCTTTGGTTTCCCCAAACATTACACCGACGTGAGGAACATGAACCGTCAGCAGAGGCAGAAGCTGCTGGGGAAGGCGTGGAGTGTGCCTGTCATTCGTCACCTCTTTGCTCCGCTGAAGGAGTACTTTGCTTGTGAGGAGTTGCCTCCCATGACTACACCCTGCCTGCCCACCTCCAGCTCCTCGTCTCCTGCCTCTCCAGACCTCAGATAGGGGAGTACAGTGTGAGAGCAGCTGTATCTGGTGTCAGCTCAGGGAAACTCAAAATGAACTTGTGCACAGTGAGCCGCTTCGTTTTGTGCAGTAGCTAAAATCACTAAGTGAGCTGCGTCTGATGAGCTGCTCATCTCCTCAGGAATCATTTTGAAATGTTTCTACATGACACACATTAGGGCTTTAATCATTTTAGGAAATAAAACTGTGTTTCCATGTTTTATGTTCATGAAAGAAAACCTTTTAGCTTATATTTTGCTAGATTTTAATATGTGAAAAAGGGAAAGAGGTCTGGCATATTGTTTAAAATGATGACCCAAACTAGTGTAGTTTACCTTCATGCATGCTCAGTAGCCAAACTAGTTTACATTTGATTTCATTGATGCTGCTGTAGTTGTAGAAAATGCTGTCGTGTGTGCAAACATTACTTTTTTACATTTAACGTCCGTGGTATATTTTACAGATACATCGTTGGCACTGAAAGTCTTGTCACGTTTCAAACAATCCAGGGAGCTACAGGTCTGTTTGGAGCAGTGGTTCCCAAACTCTTCAGCTTCTGAAAATAAAAGTGGAAGAGACTCTTGACCTCAACTATAGCTGGTTGGAGTTTACATCAATCATAAGTCATTAACAAAGACTCAACTCATTATTTTATTCATTTAAGAACACGGTCTATTTCTTTACAACAATTGAGAATAAATATGTAATTATCACTGATTTACTTAAAACGATTTGATTCCTGTAGACTTTCTCGAGAGCCCACACTTGAGTGTTTGATGACCCACATCGTGGTCCTGACCTTTACTTTGCGAACCACTGGTTTGGAGTATCAACCTGCCATTGCTGGTCAAAGAGTGGACACCACTGAACGCTGCTCTGAGACGTAGTTCACCTGGCCATGTCCAGGGTCTAGAAGAGGTCTCAGCATGTCAAGAAGGGGACTTGGTGCTTTAAAGAATAAGTTCAGCCTTTTGATGTTTACAAAGAGTTTTGTCAAAAATATGAAGAGTTAACATCTTACCTGTTCTAGATGGCTCTTTTAATAGCCTCATTTTGGAGAAATAGAGTCCAGTCACCTTTGAAGTGATGTTCTGTCCAGTATCCATCAATAGTTAGTACTTTTTTAGTACTTTGGGGCGGCTGTGGCTGAGTGGTTAGAGCAGTTGTCCTCCAATACAAGAGTTGGGGGTTCGATTCCACCAGCAGTCACATGCCAATGTGTCCCTGAGCAAGACACTGAACCCCTCGTTGCCTCTGATGTGTGTCCCATCAGTGTGTGAATGTGATAAAGCTCTGATTAGTTTTTTTAGAACGATTTGTAGAATTATTCTTCGTAGAGATCTAGTATAGAGCTGTATGAATGGGTGAGTGAGGACACAGATTGATGTAAAGAGCTTTGAGTGTCTTGATCAGACAGAAAGGAGCTGTATAAGTACAGTCCATTTACTCGGGGTGTAACGGTACACTAAAATCACATTTCGGTTCGGTTCAGTTTCGGTACAAAAAAGGCCAAAATAAAGACAAAACGTTTAATAAGTAAACAAGTTCAGTCATGACAGACTTCTTCTCTGGAGGTGATCTGGTGGATGAAGAAGACTCGGCTGCTGTCATCCTCAGACTGCAAACAACACAGAGATTAAAAAAAACATTGAGTTAAGATTATAATTTTAAAATAAAGTTAATCAGATCACAATAATAAAATAACAATACCTCTTCTTGCACGGTCATCACATGAGGTGGTTAAATATCCTCTCTCGCTCGTCATCATCATCATCATCATCTGGTCCAGGGCTTGTTGATGATCAGTTTTATCTTTTTCATAAAGTGCTGCTACAACTTTTTGGTTGAAGTGTTGACGTGATGTCGTAGCGGGGCTCAATAACTTTAAAGTCGGTGCATCAACAACAGAAATGTAGATCCAGAGCTTTAAAACCTCCTACATCTTGTGTTGTTGCTCTGGACCGATGTGAATTACCTGATAAAAGGTTGTTTAAATGCTGCTGTCATCGCTCTTTGCAACAAGCGGCGCATAATCTCTCGTTAATAAAATTTAATGAGTGAAAAAATAATCGAAACTGTTCAATACACCCACGTGTACCGTTACACCCCTAGTGTTTACCATTTACTTTATCAGTCGTGACTTGAGTCATAGAGCCCAGAGTGTGGAGGAAGAGGTCTTCATCCAGGCTAGACATAAATGACTGGCATCATTTTTCAGGCCCCGGAACAACTTTCTCAAAACACAACACACGTGTAACACGAGGGAAGAGCCTGGATTGTGACTGGAGGGTGTGACCCTAAAGCCAACTGGTAGACTTGTCAAATAATGCTAGTCTAGGGTTTCCCTGTTACAAATACTCACGTACGCCCGGCTTCAAATGACAAAAACAGAAGTAGTGTACAAAACATATTTTATTTTTCCTATTATCAATAAAACAGACTTTTATTTCCATTTAAAACCAGATAATCACAACCAAAGGCAAAACTAAGGAACACCCCCCCCCCCCCCTAAAAAACCACTATAAAAAGGGTCAGGTTTTAAATCGTCTTAACATTTTTGTTTTTACAAAGCACCATGTCAGCATGGCCAAACTACTCTTTAATGATTGTTTTTGTTTGTTTTTGTTTTAGTTAGTTAGTTTTCCTCTGTGTTTGTTGAGTTCAGATCCTGCTGATCCTGCTGATCCTGCTGATCCTTGTGTGTTTTAGCAGCTGTGTCAACTCTGTGGGATGAAAACATGTGTTGTTGCTAAAACAATCTTTCTGGAACTAGTTACAGTAGATTTATTTTTTAAAGTTTTTGATTCAGAGTTGTTAAAAAATGTATTTTTAATAATCACAACATGCTTTTTGTAATACACGTGCCTTCTCTGCTGAACTAAATGTTTGTTTATAATCTACAGGTTTAATCGCCTGTCCCTTCTTCAGATTCACGACTGTGCACGTGTCAAGCTATCCCTAAAGGTTTTGCATTTGCTTGCAGTGTTTGGTCTTCAGTAGCAGCTCTCCAGGCTCCGGCTCTGAGCTCCAAGATGATTATCAGAGTCAGTAGCTGAAAACTTGTCATGCAGTTGGATGATCAGCTGCACAATGACGCTTCGCTCAGGTCAAGTTTGACTTTGTTTTGTTGCACAATATAATGTCGAGGTCAGGATCAAGGACCAGAGTAAAATAAGAAAAACAGCGCCCAACGTTCTTCTCTAGAAAAGCTGAAGAACGTCTCACTGCTTGGGAGGAAAATTAAAAAGACGGGGCTGCAACTGGTTGGAGAACAAACTGAAGCGTCGTCTTCATGTTTCAGTGTTTGTGCTAGTTGTTCATTTTCCTACGGATGTGAGTCTCCAAGCGTTGCAGCTCAGTGAGATCCTACCTCAGAGACCTGATCAACAAGTCTACCTCCACACTATGTTCAGGGTCAGGGATTTATGGGGGTGGGTCAGATGTTAAGCTGTGATTTTAGGTAATATTACATTTTTAGCTTTTTGTTTATGAAGAACATGAAGTCTTGTAGTTTGTTTTTTTCCCAGACCAATGAAAATGATTCGGGAGTGTTGTTTTGTGTGTGTGTGGGTGGGGGGGGGGGGCATGTTTGCACAGAACTCCAAAGTAAAATAAAGAGCTGTGTGACGTCATCACTGTATGTTCCCACACAATAACAACATTAGTTATCTGCAGTGAACCCATCACACCTGAGATACACCAGGTGGAGCAGTGGGCAGCTCTGTAAGCACCCGGGGAGCTGTTAGGGATTGGGTATTAGGAACACATTCCAAAGCTACGAGGAATCCATGTAGGTTTCAACAGACTGATGTTCAGTGTGAGATGATGTAATCTTCATATCAAAGTATTGACCAAGTTATGAAATGAAGACGAGGGTCGTTACTCAAAATGTTCTCTTTGTTGTCAAAAGTTGTGAAATAAACGATTGAAATAACAGGTTTGTCCTTTTTAACATTTATTCTTTTCTTATTCTCTTTATTATGGTTTTCCTTTTCATAAGAGACACACAAAGTGCAAACAAACCGACATGAGAGGAGAACATTTGCATCGCTGGACCACTTTAATGAGTTACCCAGTATGTATTTGTACTGCAGTAATTTATAATCTGCCAAGTTGAGTGAAAAATGTCCCATTCCTCACTTAATAAATGTTTAATTTTCTTCCATTTAAAAGGGCCCACCAAGGACGTTAGAAGTTTCTGCAATGTGGGGGGGACACACTTTTTGTGTGTGCGCACACACACACACACCAGTGCACAAAAAAAGCATTTCACCTAGATTTCCTTTAATTCCACACATTTAAATCATGTTTGTCACTAATATCCTGATGCATGCTCAATAATCCAAGTAGACAAATCCAAAAAAGTTCAATCTGGTCCTCTGGACATTAAAAAAAAAAAAAAAAATAATGTAGAAACGCAACAACAAAATGAAAGAGTGTGACGCAGAACAACTCAGAATCAAAGTTTCATCCTGCCTCAGCAATGCCAAACACCACCTTCCAACATCAGTAGAGAGGAGAGGGATGCACTCACCACTCTTAGCAAGGACAAACACATCATCATTCTACCAGCAGACAAAGGAAGGTGCACAGTGATTTTGAACCAGAAAGACTATCATGAGAAGGTTATGACACTCCTGAGTGACTTAAACACTTATGAACCTCTGAAAAGAGATCCAGGAAGTGGTTACAAGAAGAAGTTAATAGATTGCCTGAAAAATTTGGAGCAGGACAAGGCTATTGACCGTTTTCTGTACCACAGACTGTACCCAGGGGAGGCCACACCTAGTCTGTATGGTTTACCTAAAATCCACAAACAAGGTGTACCTTTAAGACCAATTGTTAGCATGATTAACTCTGTCACTTACAATGTTTCCAAATATCTGGCGTCTGTACTCATCCCTTTAGTTGGCAGCTCAGAACACCACATACAGAACACCATGGACTTTGTGGATAAGGTGAGGGATGTCATCATGGAGACTGATGAAACAATGGTCTCT